ACGTGTCTCCCTAGCAGTTGTTACCGTCCCTGGGTGGCCCATTGGTATTCACCACGGACTGGTGGGAGTCAGATTGCGGATTCGTGCCCCATAGGGACCATATGGAATACAACTCGTGATTTCAAAGGGGTTTGTAAACAATTGACTGGTGTATGGTCTGGTGTCTGGCCGAGTGAACTGGTACCTAATTAGCCTGGCGTTTATGACACACTGGGTGATAGTCAAGACAAACGAAGACAATTGTATGCGAGAACAGGTGAAGGTGACGGTAGCTCAAGTTAAAGAAGGAATGGCACTGTGCCTCGACCGATTTCACGTTCCCATCGAGACAATACACTCAGGAACTGGTTTTTGCCATGGGATCGCCCATGTTTTCCGTAATGGCAAATTTGTACATGGAAGATTTGAAGGGGACTGACAAATTCTAGTACTCCACGAAAATTCGACGGTTCTACGTCGACAGCACTTCGTTGTCGTAAAACGAAATAAGAAAGAGAATCTTTTACGTCAATAGGAAGGTCATATGTCTTAACGTGGAATTGAAATCTTGTAGTGGTACAGCCTCATTTCTCGAGTGCTTAATTCACCGAAATAGTGGAACTCGATAAGCAGGCATTTAATGTAATCTGATAGATACAGATTATATGGTTCATTTCAGTTCATACCACACAAAGAACGCTTACGTTAGGATCGCTTCTTCGCTTTTTCACAAAACCCAGAGTGTGTGCACAGAGGAAGAGGATAAGTAAGTTGCTTCGAATCGGGCGTGAGCAAACCGTTATATATTGATTACCCCAGGCGGTAAATGAAGCGCCAACGGCAGAAAGTGTTGAACCCACACCCAAGACTTACCACAGAGTAATATGGGACAGTAGAAATGTCTTACAAGGAATAAACGTCTTAAGCCCTCTGGTGGATGTTGAACAAGGAGGAAATAAGCGTGGTCTTCCAAATGGGTCAAATGTCTCGTTCAACATTGGCACATTTGAAGGCCTTACTCTCCGTAGATAGGACGGACGCTGCAGTCTAAAAACTAGTTTCATAGACTGCTCACGTGTACATAGGCCAAATCGCGAGAGAGTCGCTTACTAGGGTCGGAGAACACAAGAGACTTATATCACGGCCGCCGGGAAACAAACCCGAATATAGGGCTCCACTAAAAGATTAAGCGGCACCTGTACATGCACTAGATACAGCTTCAGACGGACTTGGGCAACTTCGAGATCATTTCCGAAGCGGTAAAAATCTCCAGAGTCAATAGCTGTATTAACAGGATAGATAGGGTGCGTTGTATCGCCATCGACTCTTCGTCACCCACAACCGCAATTAGGACAAGAAACACGAGCCGGCACAGACTTGTATACCTAAGAAATGTATTTCACTTAAATAGGTTGCAGCAGTGGTGGAAGTAAAGCTACTAAAACACCTTGGAACCAACCAACAACATAGTAGACGCTGAATGATACAAGCGAATGAGAAGCGATAAAAGTAAGAACCAATCACGTGTCCGAGAAAACAGTATTAACGGAATTGGGCCATTGAGATAACATCCATTACTAACAATGTATGCCGGCCACTAATTAAAGGAATGATGCGTTTAAACAAATGTTGAGAAACATGCAATAGCGACTGAAAGCCGGTAACTAAGTACTGTCACAAAGAATTTGTATCGTGTAGACATCCTTCTAGCATGATGGAACTGTCAAATAGATGGCGAGCTGCCTTAATTTGACCAGTCTGATGAGTGTCAGTGGACGGATTCAGGTTGGAAAGCAAGTATCAAACCACTACTACTCCAATCACTGACAAGCATTTTCATGTGGGGACCTTGTAACGTGGGCTGCTTGGGACGCTTCCCCACTTGGTGTAACACTTGGGATGATACGTCCATCTATAACGGTTTTTACTCCCTATCGCATCCCTCGTTTGTCGGGGTTATCCTCCCAGTGTGCAAAACCGATTACGTGACGATTCAGTCGGCTTGACAAATCTTTTGTCACAAACGAAATGTTATCAACCAAAAGTGCCAACCGATCGCTTTAAAACTCTTCTGCAATTATAAGTACCTTATTCCCGGGTGTCTCACGGTACAGCCAACCGTTTCCACGATTCCCTTACCGGTGGCTTCTAAGTGATACGAGGGTAGTTCAAAAGAAACCGAACTTTTGAAATAGCGTGTCAATCGGTAGTGGGAGCGCGTTGCGCCTACCGATTTGCGGCCGTAACAATGAAAACTATTCAACCTGGTACTGCACTCATCCTATCTATAAAGTGCTTTTTGGACAACTGCTATAACCACGCGATAAAGTCACAAGATATCAATCTGTCTGAGCGTCCAACCTTGTTTGCTTCACGCCAGAGCTTCGTGTTGTCTAGAGGCAAATTGCGTTACTGAATGCAAGCGAAAGTTCAACTGAGCTGAATGCATTTTACTCAGACTGAGGGACGACTAAGTCCTATAGTTCGTATTGGATTATTGCGCACAAAGCAGCAAGTTGGGTGAAAAAAGGAACCGAGAGCAGGCCATCGTCATACAAACCGCATTTCTTAGCGCTTTCTAAATCTGAAATCTATTGTAGCGCCGCCAAGTGGACAAGGTTTAATGGTCATTAGTATAGGAAGGACAATGAACAGTGACTTTATAAGAGTTACTTAACACTGCCTTACAAGCCCCGTTGGGTGCTTTGGTGAGTTTATTATTAAACGTTAAGAGAAAAGAGTGTTTTAACTCTCAAATGAATGGACTTGTGGTTCCTAATGCAGTAGCCCTGCATTCCCTGTAGTTTCGCAACTCTAATAAGTGACAAATAATAAATATGAGGTATATTTCAGAAGTAGAACGGAGAAATACTTCTATGCAACACTGTGCAAATGGCTGAATGTGTCAATCACCCGACTTTCCAATATGACTAGTGTCCGTGCAGAGACGAGCGGTTCAGAGAGAGCATTCCATGGGTGATATACGCGATTGGAAAAGACACTTTTACTGCACTCCATACGACTGTGCTGTACTGTTAGTTTCAAGGAGTAAATGCTCAAGAATGTGTTATTGCTGTGTTGCAACAAAGGGTGGTACACATGATTTAGATCGTGTAGAATCGAGTTGGCTATTGTCAGACCACTTTGGAATCGCGATATTGTCCGCTTAATACTCCCAAGCGTTTCCGTCTGTGCTCGTATGGGAAATTGCTCATTCCAATAAGGTACTTAGAGGCCCGACTTCAAGGCTAATCCAATGCAGTGAGATCGTGCTTCAGCTATGGATGTCGGGCTTGATTAGTGTATTCGACACGGGGGCGGACACAAGCACTGTACATCTGTCAGCTATGGAGATGTCTATCTTTCCGAACGACTGTCTCAATAGCCCAGTGTAATGGTTAGTTAGCAGCTTTCAATGTTTTTTGCGGACTGACTGAAACGATCCAAGTCATCTTGAACCAGGAAGCCCAGGTGACATTCGACGGAAGATCACTGCAAGTGTTGCGTTCCGAGCCTGTAAGAGTGGGTGCTCTGATGCAGCATTAGGAGTACCTTGCATTTGCTTACGTTGAATTGAAGTAAATATCGGGTTGACCACTGATGTACGTACTGCAGCTCGCTCACATTGGGGCAAAAGCTTGTCGACATTCACCTGAATCCTGCGCCATATCTTGATGGCGTCGACAAACACTAAGAAATTTGAAGCAATTGTTTGTGTGAGGTAATTATTAAGTAATAAAATCAATCATGGCTCCAGCACTTAATCTAGAAGCAAGTCACACTCGACTAATATGGTGTCAGATAAAGAGCTGGTCAATAAGTGCCGTTGACGGAGAAAGTTGGTGATCTGACTCAAGAGAGGGTCACCGGTGCCGTAATACAGTATTTTGAAAAGGAGTAACCGATGAGTTAGTCGATGGTTTAGTCACGTCAACGTGTTCCCCAGCTTCAGCCAAGTCGGTCCAACTACTCCTTGCGGTTAGTATAATTCGTTTTGAATGAGCGCTGTCGAGGGGAGCCATGCAGTACGGGAGCAAAGTTATTGCCGGTAAAAGAGCCCAAGCTTAACATACCCCATACGATGGTCCATTAGGCGTTCCAAAAATCAGAGAAGAACAACAATAAACAGTGAGCAACGGTTGACCGAGAAATTGTCGACCATTTCTCCTCTGAATAGTTCGCGCAAGATTTGATGCATTTCGCAGCACTGTCGCATTTGCGTTTCCAAGAAAAACAGGGGTGTGTGGATTTGTTGTAGTTTTCCGCTTTTTCACTGCAAACTACAGCATTCTAATTAAAATGTCCTGTTGACTAACAGATGGGTGGAGCTATCCTGACGAGCCAACGCGGTGGTCAAACTTACACAAACCTGACCTCCATATCTTGATCGTGGTCCCCAAGCTATCAGCAAACCTCCAATTGGTTCCCATTAGCCTTTACTTTATCATCCTCCTGTTTTGTTTACTTTGGACAAAATAAGAGAAAATCGTTTCGTCAGTCGTAACAAGTGCCCGTTACGAGCATCAGTTAGGAACTCAGTGCACTGAACAAGTTAACAACACGACTTCAACGGAAATGCACATTACCCCCAGTCGGTTCTTATCATGTCACTAAAATCAGCTGAAACCCATGATTTCCGTAAGGATTCTTGGCAGACCAATAGAGTAATTGAATTACCCAAGACCGGCGGCATTTTCTACAACAATTAACTACACTTGCTACGTTCGCTCACCGCATTTACATATAGAAGATATTGACCCATCTCCTCATCTCTGATATGTACTGGTATCGTGGACATCTAACTTATATCGTATGACTACTGTTCGTCACAATCAAGATGTTCATGTCGATCAGATGATCATCTATTCCAGACATTCCAGCTGATAGAATTTACTGAGTTTCTTTAAGCAATATTTTTGGCCTTGACACTATGGATTGTGCCAAATACCCGGATATCTGGGGCGTCTCACGGTAACTAATATGTGTTCTATCTGTGCCTTTCCATTAACCGAATATGACAGTGGACTCATGCGACAACCAAACCCAATTCCCCTGTCGCCGCCGTCCGCCGAATTCGAATCCGATGTGCATCCCAAAAGAAGCCGTTTGCGATGGAAAACCCGATTGCCCCATGGGAGATGATGAATTGGAAGGCCCAAGGTCCGGATGCACCATCCCAAATTGCGCTGTGCAAAATGGCCACTGCAGCCAAGTTGGTTTCCCTATATCTGTTTTTGCCTTTGTAATCTGCCTCCACACTACTAAAGCATGCGAATGCTGCTGTCCCACTGGGTAGATTTATTTGTCTGCAATGCACTACTTTCTATGTATAAGTAAACGGTTGAGTCACTGAAAATTCTGGCAACACGCTTCATTATGACAAGTATCTGATACCTTTATAAAAAATGTGTGCTGCCCCGAACAGCATCACACTAACTCGTCCGAAGCACGGATCTCTCGTTGTAATTTTACTGGAATGGTATCTCATAACATCGGTCCCAACCGAAGATGATGATACTTCTAATACTTTATCCCAAACACAGCGGTGCAATGCGGCCAGGTTAGCGGTGCGTTTACAGCACTTAGACAATATTTGTGTTCGTTAGAGGCGATCAACACTAACGCATTGGACCTACGAGCCTAGTACACGTTAAGAGGATAGACAGATCGTCGAAAATGTGAGATGTTCTTAAATCGCATTTAGAGACAGGTTGTAGTTGTGCTTTATTCGTTTATGCGGCTCTGTGTCATTTACGAAATTCTTCACAATTACTTAATGTTCAAACGCTATTCTCTTCTACTCTGCCCTCAACCAAACAACTTAGTTAACTTTGCGGACAGGTTATGCAACTTTGATAATGAGCGTTTTCGCTCCTTAAGTTTTAGGTGCTCCTTTGGATTCCGCTTAGTGGAGTACGGACGCTACATCTCGTCGGACGGATATAGCTTTGTCCATATGTCCCACGGTCTTGACAATCTTTGCATCCAGCAACAAACGAAAGGACTTCGCGCCCACCACCTCAAATAGTTCGTACGTTTAACTTAACCCTAACAACATTGCCAACCACCCAAGTACTCGTGCAAGACACATACGCTTCGAGTGACCTGGCATGGTGGCCTCCACCCATATACTGCACAGTGAATGTTCTTGTGCACATTATGTAGTTGATTTGAACAAAGTCATCTTGGCATGTAAGCTGTGCAACCTGGGGTTGTAGGCCACAAGTATCCTCTAAATTCCGCCTCTTTCTGATATAATGGCCTATGTGTAACAGCTCGCTTATTCGGAACGAACGCCCTGGCCCCCAATAGTTCTTTCCCCGAGCCGAACTGCATGGTCTTATTGGAACAAATGAATAAATAAATAACTTTGTATATTTACCCACAAACGCTACACAGCGGGAGCGATCATTTTTATAGTGAATATGTTTATAGATTTCATGGTTTATGTGGCGTAAATCATAATAGTAAAGGAAAGTTAAATAATAGAATTTCGGATCATGATTATTTTGCTTAGGGTCCTGGACTCGAGCACCTAATATGTACAATTTACCGCTATTTGTATTATCATTTGCTAGTCTGGGGGGCTCAGGAGTAGATAATAAAAGGCAGGAGATACTAGGCTGCACAGATACAGGATTTGATATTGTAGGTAAAAACACATAGTGGGTAAGCTAGTTGTAAGCAAATATCTGCTCATGTGTTTTTTATACCAGCTTCTGTCAATGTTTCTAGCGTTTGCTGTGAGTCAGAAATCTGCAACACTTTTGATACAGTGAGGAACGTCTGTAGGGAATTTCGAAATGTGACATAGTTGGCACTCATGCGTATCTGTAGGGGCAGTTTGTTCTACAAATCAGTGTATCTCACTAAAAAGAAATTCGATCGAGTTGTATGACTTGCAAGCTTTGTGCTTAGTAGGTATCCGCCATTACGTGTGGGGTAGACCGAAATCTTCCGTAGTTCAAGTGCGGTACTGCCTGCGTAAATTCGTTGGTTTATAATGTTGTAGAAGAGAACGAGGTTGTTCTTTAAACGTCTCAGCCAAAGGGGATCCAGTTGAAGTTTTCGACAACGATCATAATCACTCAGGTTTGAGCAGCGCCCCATAACCGGCTTGGGAAATAATCGTTGGACATTTTCCAGAGCCATTCTGTCTTTCTTTCTCACTTGGCTGCGAACGATAGTACAGTATTCCAGAGTCGGTCGTACTATTGTCTTGAATGACTCAAGTCGTGCTTCAGGTAGGGAGAAAGTTCTGGTGATATATCCGCATAGCTGCCTTGCTTTTGTAATCTGATAATGCACATGTTTGGAGAAATTGAAAGAGTTGGAGTACCTAATTTTTAAGTCCCCAACTGAACCAGACGTTGGGATCACGTTTCGTGCAAGCGTGATAGAGTCTTCTGGAATGCGGCATTTGTACCCAAGTACTTGGAATTTCATTGCGAAGAACCTCATTAATAAAAGTTCACTAGCTATACTTAGTGCGGATAGGTCTTCACAGATAATGCCCAGGCACCTTTGCAGTTTGTCTGGATGAAGTGAGTAGACCAGTTTGAGGTTATCTACAAACAGAAATGGGTGTCCATGTTTGATCGGGTCTCATAGGTTGTTTACGTAGATTAGGAAAGGTAGCGGTCCGAGCACACTACGCTGGAAGACGCAGCTGGTTAGTTGTTTCGGTGAAGCATATTTCTGACCGATTCTAACTACCTGGGTTCAACCGTTTAGATATGAGTCGAAGCAGTGTAGCAGAGGATTTCCACTCCCAGATGACTCAAGAGCAGACAGCATTGGCTTGTACCACACGCGGTCGAACGCCTTTTGCAGGTTCAACAGAATTATGATGATTGTCATTCCTCTCTCAATCAAGTGTTGACATGATCGATGAATTGTAACTGGCAGATAACGTAGGAGAGTTTTGTGTGGAAGCCATGTTGTGAGCGGTTGATCAGACCCAGTCTTGTAAGATATTGAACAATATTCTTCTTGACTATTCGCTCTAGGGCTTTGGAAGTAGCAAAGGTGTGATTTATTGGATGGTAGTTTGACACTTTATTTTTCGGGCCACCCTTGTGCTTAGGCAGTATAATGGATTGCTTACCTTCGCCACCTATGGCGACGGCGCGACATTACTCTCCGACCCTGAAGGGTAGAGTGTACAATGCAGCGGTACGTTCGACCTTACTGTACGGTTGAGAAACCTAGCCCCTAAGATCGGCGGACATGAAGAGGCTACTTACGTTCGACCATCGGTGGCTTCGCAGTTTGGCTCACATCTGGTGGAAACACCGCGTGGGTAACGTGCCTGTTAGACGCCTTGTTTACGGCCCAAGAAAAGGGAATGAACCGCTCAGCACCGTTATTTCATGCACCAGGCTCCGATGGCTGGGCCACGTGTTGCGCATGCCAGCCCACCGACTCCCTCGACGTGCGTTGTTTGCTCACCGGGGATGTGGGTGGAAGAAAAGGAGGGGTGGCCACGCGATGACTTGGTCCAGAGGAATGAAATCCCTCACTTCGGAGCTAGCCTCGGTTGGAGCTTCACGGCTCCCTGGTTGGGGTCCAAAAGGCGGTGAACACGTTTGGCTGGATACACTTGCTGACATGGCAAGGAGCCGACCTCAGTGGCGTTCCTGTTGTGAGTTTCTTTGTCCCTCCCCATTCCTTTAGCTTCCCCCTCCATCTACGATCTTATTTCGTTGGGTAAAACATAATTAAATTTTTTGTTTTTGCCTAGTAGCCGGCTGGTAGCTAACGGGAACGATGCCTATCCGTTGCTGGTAGCTCAGCTGGCATGCGACTGTCGTATTTATTTTTCCTTTATGTATTGTATGTATGTATGTATATCCTTTATGTATTGCGGTACAATAGCGGAGGTGTTTTACCACCTCTAGCTGACATGTATAATGATGATGATAATGATGTCTGTTGACCGATTTGTAGCAGTGTGCGTACATTAAGGCATGCCAATCTGAAGGAGAATCGAGGGCTCCAAATGGAAGCCGATGAACTGGAATGGGCCGCTTGCTTGGACATGGGCCTGTTGACAAGACAGGAATGACGCTCCGCGTTCACATGTGAGTTGAAACTTAAAGACAAGCGACTATTGAAACAAGGTGGAGGAGGGCCAAGAATCGTGGGTTGAAAACTGGGGGGGGTGTAAGTGAAGTTGGAACCGGACGATAAGGGTGAAAAAGCGCAAGAAGGGGAATAAGAAGATGGGAAGGGTTGAGCAGTAGCATCTAAACCCTTATCCACCCTGCCCGATGCAGCAGATAGGGCACCGTTGATTACCCTCTGCGGTGGCCAGAGCATCAGAAATTTGTTTGAGGAAAAATCCATTGTATTGCCTGGGCAGGATACTGTCAGGTTGCCCAGGCCTAGACAGGAGAACGATTAGGGTTCTCAACCAAAGCCTTTGGTTCAAAAACCTGTCCGCAAGGCAGCGGGTTTGGCGGTGGGCTACAAGGAGTCTGTTTTAAGGAATAAGGAGCCACGCTCATTTCCACCCCCAACCTGGAGGACCAGGAGGCTGTCTGGCCTCTAACCATTGACCAGTCTGGTATGAGTGACTCTGAAGGTGCAGAAATACACCAACCAGTATAGCTCAATGGATCACTTAGACACACAAACCATCGCACCACGGTAATGTCCAGCCTCATTGCAAAATTTCAAATTCTTATAATAGCTGGAAAAATGATTGATTCCCTTCATATCAAAGTTCAGTGCTCCATTCCCTGCAATAAATAATTATTTTATGTTATGAAATTTCTACTTTTATTATCGTTTTGTGTGTATTTAAGTAAGAGAACACAACTGGGTGTGTTGAGATGAATGAAAATGGTAAAAGCGGACGTTTTCTATGAATGAATGCCTGCCAACGTGAAAAGTGTGCGTGTTTATGGCTGCTAACCACTTAAGAGGCATATATGCTGCGTTCTCACGGCCAGCAGTTAGAGGTTACGGCCTAAAACATTAATCTTTCCCTTATATAAGAATTTCAGTAATCGTTCGTTAAAGCAAAAATAAGGCGTTCTCGGTAACTCGAAGTAAAATTAATACATTAAGCTGTTGCCCACATTCTAAATATCAGTTAACTGTATTTCCACACTAATTTTATAAAAGCCACTTTTTATCTCCATTGGACATACAGACTGGTGGAACACTGTCTGGCGAACCTAGACCCACGAGGGAGAGCGAGAAGAC